CTACCAAAAATAGTGCTTTGTTGTGTATCTGACGGAGGAAAGCTAAACCAGTTCCACACCAGTGAAGCTGCAGCATTTCTACAAACGATTCTGGTTCATCGTTTCACTCAACGATCCACTCTCGCTCTTCTCATTCTCCGTCGCCGCCATGTGCGTATGAAAACAAAGGCACTGCGCATGCGCGTTTTACCCATATTCTATCGCCATATTTCATTTTCCTATCGTTGCCCAACATTATACTGGTGTTACCGTGAACGGTATGATATGGCCCAGCCCTAGTCTCTAGAGTTTAACCTTAAAAATCTGAGTTTTCCTTCCATGTTGAATCTGATTGTCTGACACAAACATCTCTGTGAAGGACTCGCTCTGACTTGTGGGGACAGATTTTCAGAGCAGACCGAGGATCGATAACCTCCCTCAGTCAGAGCAGGCGGCGTTTTTCACTTTGATTTTTAGCTCTTTGCTTAAAATAAATGTTTGCCATTAGAGCCTCCCCGTCCATTTAGCTCTCTGCGTTCGTCCGTGCCTTTTTCAGTTGTTTCAGTCACCATGGAAACACACAAACAGACAAAAGCAGCCTTGTGTTGTCTTTCCTGTGCAGGGAGGCGGTGTGTGAGTTTCTGTTTGTTATTGAAGACACACACACACAGATTTATCGATCAGGTGGGATGGTGGAGGCTGAAGGTTTGATTCTCTTCCACATCAGTTTGCACACGCTGAGCAGTTTTGCTTCTTGTGAAGGAAGCAGAGCTTCACTGCAGCTCCGTGATGAGTGCACGCTCATTGTGTTGCACAATTACACAAATCAGTTCACGAGCAGCTTCATGCAGGATCATAATAAATGGGGAAAGAAATCTATGGATGGAAAAAACAGGTCAGTGCTTAGAAGCCGGAGCGATGAGCCGTGCAGTATCTAATGTTAGACGGTGGTTAACGTTAGCATGCTCGCTAACCTCTGACAGGACGTTTTAATTAGCGTTGTTGAGCTAAACACGCGGCGCGGTTTGTCGTGCGTGGCGCTGTAAACATCCAGCCGGGGTCGCATGGTGACACGCTGCCAACACGACACGAGCGCCTGCAACCAACCGCTTTGCTAATGATGGTGCTGCAGTCACATGTAATGAGCAGCTGAAAGCTGCACGGCTGCTGCATCGTCTTTGGAAAGCAGGAAAAATATCATTAAAAATCAGATATGTAGATGCTGTTCTCATCCTCTGTATTCAGCATTCACTTTGGACACAGTTTGTTAAAGCATTACTGAAAGACAGCAATGAGACAAAGTCAGTCTGCTATCAGTCTGCAACCGAATGAGTCAACCTGGCAGGCATCTGTCTGGAATACAGGTATCACATCCAGCATCCACCAGGACCTCACAGATCTGAACCAGAAGTTCAAAAATCTGCAAACAGTGACGTAAAAGCTGCAGGACAGCAGTTTAACTCAGAATACAGCCAGCTGAGCCCTCCACTGCAAAGAGACGTGATCCATATGTAAACTGACCGGGATTTTATGCTACGTCTTAACCACAAACCTTTTTCCAAACCCAGCGACGTGACCTGCGGCGTAGCTTTGCTCACACTTACAGAAACGTAGCGGCACGTCAGGTCAATGCGGCCCAAGACTGTTGTGATTGGTCTGTTTGGTACTTAGTGTAAGTAACACAACTTACACTGACGCAGGTTACATGGTGGGCTGTACAAAGAGTCACCGAAGTCTAAATCAGGCCCGACTGACTGCAACACGCTGGCGATCAGTCTGACTGCCTGACCCCGATGGTTGGAGACAGGTTGCCTCTTACCAGGTGACCTGAACATAAAATAGTCATCGCTGACTTCCTGTTGCAAGTGTTTGCATTCATTCTGACCAAAACACTGACTTCTTAGATGTTGTGTTAGTTCAAGGTTCAAGGTTCAAGGTTCTTTATTTGTCACATGCATAGTTATACAAGTATAACACACAGTGAAATGTAACCTGACACGCTCCTCGACATGTGCAAAAAATTGGGGGGGGTGGGGTGTAGAGGAAGAACATTATATATATATATATATATATATATACATACATACATATAGTATATACACTGGGTGAATGTGCAGTAGTAGCAGCAAGCAGGTGAATTCTGTACATTAATATGAATAGACGTCTGACTATTTTACAGGATAGACAATATAAACATATTTAAAATTGAAGGAATTGAAATGTACATTGTGCCTTGGTTTAGTGTCTGGAAGAGTCCTGTCTCAGTCAATTTTAGATGATGTGAGAGGGCGGGTGTGTGTGTTTAGGGCAGCCATGCCGAACTTTCTGCTTTAATCCCGTCTCGCAGTGCTCTCCTTGTTTGGCTCCAGCCTCGAGTGGACATTAGTGGAACTGCAGTTCTGGTTGCTTCTCAGGCCTTGGAAAAATCCAGCTTTTGATGGTTGGATTTAGCTTTGCACACCAAAAACTGATAAGTGGTACCAGGCGTCAGACACAGCTGGCGTTTATAGTTTAAACAGAGAAATAGGACAGACATGAGGAAGGAGTCTGTCAAGTCTAATAATCTGTGTCACACAACATCACGTTAGTCTCAAAGGGCTTCACAGCCTGTACGATGCCCACTCCATGCTCACGGCCTGCAAACAAACACGGCGTCTACACGAGTTCAGGATGAGACGAACAGAATGAGCGAGGCGGCGGCGAGCGAGGCGGCGAGCGAGGCGGGGCTGATGGGGAAGCGGAGAGAACGAGGCTAAATGGAGAT